CTTCAGTGTTTCGTCACGAGACAGCTCTATTAATTTCTCCTGCTCAACAACAGTTAAGTCCATTGAGGCCACGTGAGAGGTGCTGATGTTGAAAGGGTTTCTCATCCAGCTTCTAGCCTCAGCTTCAGGCATCACAGGGAAATAATTGCAGAACTGTTGTCTGAGTGATGTTCTCCCTGACTCCATCATCAGCATCAGGTCATTATCAGACAGAAAACTCTCCAAAGCAGGGAAAGCTGAAACATCACCTGTCTTGACTTTAAGTTCAAATAACTAACTTTTTCAGCAGTGCATTGATTTTGTCCTGTACATCAAAAGCATTGATAGAGAGTCCCTGCAGCCCCAAATTCAGTTCATTTAAACGTGAAAAAATGTCAGACAAGTATGCCAGCTGACTGAGCCACACAGCATCCTCAAAAATGTCTGAGAGAGGGAAATGTTTGTCCTGCAAGAACATCTGGACCTCTCTGTGCAATTCGAAAAGCCTCGAAAGTACCTTTCCTCTTGAAAGCCACCTTACTTCAGTATGAAGCAAGAGTTGGACATGTTCACTACCCATCTCCTCGCAGAGCACATGAAATAAGCGAGCATTCATCGGTCTGGACTTCATGAAGTTCACAGTTTTTACAGCAGAGTCCAGCACAGACTTCAGGTCATCAGGCATCTTCTTCACTGCCAGTGCCTCACGGTGGATACTGCAGTGAGTCCAGCGCATCTCAGGTGCCACCTCAGAAGTTTCTGATGAAAAGTTCATCTTATTTGATATGTTAAGTTGATTTTACTTTGAAGTTGTAGTGAACTTCTGAAAGTGAGTTCAAGTGGCTCACAACAGACAGTTCCAGTTCCAACTGGTAATTTTATTGTCAGTGAATGCAAAAATCTGAGTACGGTGAACAATTTTGAGTTGTCGTTTTTACAGTTCACCGAGCTAGAGTGAGGTCACCTTATCTGCGTTTGCTCATTTAAATATTTGTCGTGGCAACCAGCTGCATTAAACATTTAGAAAAAACTAATATGACCAAAAATATCATTGTATTTATTTTTACCAACCGTAATCGATAGGGCCAAGCCAAAGTAGCCCTTTATATTCCCCGGGTCAGTCTTCGAAACATTAGTTTCTTTTTTACAGTGTACTCAGGTTTCCGCTCTGGCTCCTGCTCTGGCTCCTGCTCTGGCTCCTGCCCTGGCTCCTGCTCCAGCTGCGCCCCATTCACACCATGCTTCGAGCCACCACCAGTGCTTGACCCCGGGGGATCTGAGCTCATCAACAGCAGAGGACAATCTCCCCTCTGCAAGTGTCACTGCCGGGGTCAACGCGCCAATCAAATAAATCTTTTTTATGCATTAATGTTTCTGTCTTGGTCTCTTCAGATTGAATGTGTGATAGGATCTGATTCATGGCCACGTTCACAAAAAATTTGCTCGGGGCATGATTCTGAAGAGCATCAATAACAGAACCTAAATCGATTGGCGTTTCCGAAGTATTGTGGGAGCCTGTCAATCAATACAATTTTCTCTGTATTCTTTATAAAAACATAAGTAAGTAAGTAATCTTTATTTATATACCGCCTTTTCACTGCAGATCTGAGTCTCAAAGCGGTTTACAATTGTTAATTTTTGGGCATTTGTCTCTCACTCCACACAGAGATGGGAGCGGGGTCAACAGTACAGGAGGCGCATGCTAGAACTATTGGACATATGTTTAGTGATAGGGGAACCCGGAGGGAGGAAACCTACGCAGACACGGGGAGAACATGCAAACTCCACTCAGAAAGGCCCTGGTCCGACCGGGATTCGAACCCAGGACCTTCTTGCAGAGAGGCGAGAGTGCTATCCACTCAGCCACCGTGCCGCCCATAACTATCCGATCAATAGTTTCATGGTTAGCAAAGGATCTGTCAAACACCTTGTTACGCCTCCAATCGGCTGAAAAACCTAATAATGTAAACACTGTAAAAGAATGAAAAAAACATTGTATTAAAGGTGATATGGCTGTAGGAGTCTGAGCCGTAGAAACATTCTTTAATATCACCTTAAATTGTTACGCCCTCATTTTTCCCATATTTGGCATTTCCCCATAAACTGCATCAAAGGGTTGCAACATAATTTGTAATCACAACTGAAGTGATTAACAGTAACAATGGAAGCAATCATTCAAATTCTCAGTGAGCAAATAAACACAACTTTGGAGTCACTGGCTTCTTTGTTTGTGAGACTTTCTATAAATATGTAAATAATATATATATATATATGTGGTTACTATGTGGGCTTTTAACACTGCTCGTTTTGAACTTTTCTTTCATCATTCTTAGCTATGGATCCTGTGCTTGCATGTGCGTCCTTATTAAAGTCTAAATAAAATAAATAAATAAAATAAATATTACCAAAAAATAAGCTGAAATCAAGTCGTTGAGGAATGTTGAGTGTTGTAAATGAAGAGTATTATGTTAAAACTAAAATCTGCTTTAAGAGAGACAAGTATCTAAAATAAAAATTCTCAAAGCTAATACATGCATACAGTATATTTTCAAAGTCCGAGTAGTAGTAGTCGTAGTAGTAATCTGTATTTTTAGAGTAATGTTTTTTAGAGTAATGTTTCTACGGCTCAGACTCCTACAGCCATATCACCTTTAATATAATGTTTTTTTCGTTCTTTTACAGTGTTTACATTATAAGGTTTTTTAGCCGATCGGAGGCGTAACAAGGTGTTTGACAGATCCTTTGCTAACCATGAAACTATTGATCGGATAGTTATGTTTTTATAAAGAATACAGAAAAAATTGTATTGATTGACAGGCTCCCACAATACTTCGGAAACGCCAATCGATTTAGGGTTTTGTCCACCCCTTTATCTGCCAGGTTCCAGGTCAGAGCTGCGACAGGGCAAGTCCGCTCACTCAAAAGTTGAAGCATGAGTCCAAGAAAAGTAATAACATGAGCATGACAAGGACATTGTGGAGAATCACTGCAGAAAAGTTTATGACCGATGAAACCGTTCTGTCTCCAGTGGATACACCCTCCGTCATAAACTACACTGCAGCACTTGTTCATAAATGACACATAATCTGCTCCATTGTCTCTTTTTGCACTTTGACCATGTTCTGTCATCATAAACCCACTGGAGTTGTTTTTAGCGCCATTCACGATGACATCAGAAACTTGATTGATCAGAAATTGTTGTATTTTAGTTTTCTGTCTATCCAAAAAATATACTATGCCAAATAACTAAAGTAAATAGTGTTTTTATCATACACAAAAAACAACGTCAGAACCACTTGCGTCGAGATTTTTCAACATTCTATGGCAGTTAAAGCTACTTTTCTCAAGGTGCTGGTGCTCGAGTAAGTGTGAGTGTTAGTGCGAGTTACCATAACAACACACTGTTTACCTGCAGCAGTTAGCATTCAGTATCCTCTCATCATGCTGTTTTATAGATTACTTGAATTCAATATAAGTCGACTAAAATGGCCATTACAGATGTTTTTTCAGAATTCCATTGAAATGAATGTGATCTGTCAAAATGACTGCTGTGTGGGTCCTTCTAGTTTCAGAATTCTGGGAGTCCTAGAATTAAAGCCGGGATTCCAATGTTTTTTTTATTCGTCCAAACGGATAGGTTCATGTAAAAGTAATTTTCTGTGAATAAGTCCGACTACAACATACTGTCTTCCTCGTAACTGCCATTGATGTATTTGTCTGAGACCTTCTATTCAGCTGGGGATTATGGGACAACAAAAATAGCAAGAAACAAACTTACTTGTGTTGATGAAAGTAGTGTTGTGGCGAGTTTCATATATTGTGGGCGGCAGTAGCTCAGTTGGTAGAGCTTTGGCCTTTGAGCCAGAAGGTCGTGGGTTCAAGCCCCGCTCAAGACTTTCACCATCGACTCCCACTGACTACTGTCGTTGTGTCCTTGGCAAGACACTTAACCTCTGGGAACACCAGCCACAGTGGGGCGGCTGCGGCTGTAAAGTGCCAAACTGCCGTTGTGTCCTTAGGCAAGACACTTCACCCCCATTGCCTAGAATGAGTCTTGTGTGTGTGAATGGTTGGTGGTGGTCGGAGGGGCCGATGGCGCATACTGGTTGCCTCGCTTCTGTCAGTGTGCCCCAGGGCAGCTGTGGCTACAGCAGTAGTTTATCACCACCGTGTATGGAGTGAATGAATAATGACACATGTGAAGCGTCTTTGAGTGTCCAGAAAAGCGCTATATAAAACCGATGCATTATTATTATTATTATTAGAATATATTGTACTAAAATTCACTGATACACTTGCAGACAAAGGCCGCTTGTCCTGCACAAAGAGGCCTTCACTTTCACATGACCTTCTCTGAGGCGAGGGTACCATGTACCACTCCTTTGCTCGTAATAATGTTAAATGTTTGACAGGTGTACTATCATTCTTTTCCCCTCCCTTCTTTTACCTCGTCTTCCTGCATAACTCAACCCACCTTACACCCACTGTGGCATGTCTTGTTCTTTGTTCTAGCTTCTTGCAGGACTATATTATCAAATGTTAGATGTGAGCAGACCAGAGAGACGACGCAGACTTTAAATAAATTGCACAAAGACAAGCTGTTTTCTCTCGGATCCATTCATTGAAGTATTTCAATTTCCACTACAGTAGACAATCCAGTCTTTCAGAATCTGTTTTCATATTTTACATGGTAATAGGAATAATATTCTGTGGGTCTTGAGAATCAGTGAAATTATCAAAAATGGCTGGCAGTCAATTTAGCCGTCACTATTTGACGCTGATTGGCTGAGTGAGGGTGGCACTGTCTTTTTTTTTTTTTTTTACTTTTCTGCCTGAAAAAACATACGTGCATGTGAAAAATAGTGATAGAACCAAACTGTTGTGAGAGTGAGGCGCGTTAGATGGATTGCATTACACCACACTTTTTGAGGTAACTAATTTAGGTACCCCAGCTTTAAACCGTGTGAACAATACATTATTTTAATTAGTCTCCCATCATGCGCGCGTACTGACCTTGCGTGTCAGAGCAGCCTCTCCTCTCTGTCCTGGAGCTTCATCCCGTTCGAGGACTCCACTTCCCGCATCACGCCCAGCTCCACGCTCCTCCGCCCGGCCTCCTCCTCCTCCCGCTCCACCCGACCCCCCTCCGGAGACCCCTCAAAGCCTTTATTCTCATGCCCAGAGGCGCGCTTCTCCTCGCAGCCCACTCCGCTCTCCACTCCGCACTTTTTCTTCTGCTCCACGCTCACCACAGACAGTCTCTGGGACATCTTCCGAGCCCAGTGCGTAAAGCTGATGCCACTGGCCCCGGAGCCCCAGCGCACTTTGGGGCCCCTGGACATCCCCACGTTCCCCGTATACCAGAGCAGCCACCACACCAGGCTGAGGAAGATGATGAGGGAGCCCGTGTAGATGAGGAAGTCCCCGTAGAAGCGTCCGTCCCGTGTCAGCTGGCCGAAGATCCCCACCAGCAGCACCGTCAGCCCCGCGGCGTCAAAGAGCAAAGCCAGGTAGAAGGAGAGCGCGCAGTGTCCCACGCATCCCCGGGCCATGCCTCGCCTCTGCGAGACTGTAAATATTGTTCCGAGGGAGAGAGAAGGGAGCGCACCTGGCTCTGGCCATGGCACGCCCACAAACACGGGCTGCAGCAAGCGGCACGGGACGTCCCAAAGGGAGTGTAATACAACTGAGGGATTTTATATTTGTATCTTTATTTTTAATGTTCTGTGATTATTTATGATTTTAATGCTTTCTTGTTTTGTTCAGCACTTTGAATTGCCTTGTGTATGAATTGTGCTATATAAATAAACTTGCCTTGCCTTGCCTAAAAGAGAGAAAGAAAAAAAAAAAAAACCCACTATAGAAAATATTCTATTCCTTTCATAAATCCTATCAGTGCCCTAAACTGTTGCTGTGTTGCTTCTAAAGAATACATTTAAATTTAAAATAGAGTTACAGTTACTTTTTACAATATACAAGTGCACATGGTGCACACAAGTGAGATGTGGTTAAAAAAAATCAATAAATCAAAAAAACAGTGGAAAATCAAACTTTTTGGGGAAATTACTCTGAATTCTGTTGGTTTGATTGGAAGCAGTCAAAATGACGGCTATGGGAGTTCTAGTAGTTTCATTATTCTGGGTATCCAAATGTCAGCATTAATGGACATTGATCATCCAACCCTAGGACCAATGGCTCTACACTGCAAAAAGTGATGAAAAACAAGTCAGAAAAAATTACTCAAATTTGGCAAAATGTATCTTTATTTGTGCACATTTTGACTGCTTTAAAACAAGATCAGCCAATGGCACAAAGCAAAACAATCCTGTATTCAAAAGATACAAGAAATGTGTTCCTTGGAATGAGAATTTAAAGCAAGTCCATGAATTAAGTCTAAATAGATTTGTCCCAAGTTTTTGAATGTACTCAGATTAAGATAAAAACCACTTGATTCAAGCTATTATTACCTCAAGTGGACTTTTTGCAGAGTGTCTTTTCTTTGGGACCACACAGGTCACTCCAAATTTGCAGTAGAATTGAAGGCAGTTTACAGACAACTCATAGGTGACATCAATTTGACCGAGATCATTGTGAGGAAGAGGGAAGGATGAAGAAGGCGTATTGTGTAAGTAAGTAAGTAATCTTTATTTATATACCGCCTTTCACAGCCCAGAGTCACAAAGCGGTTTACAATAGTTATATATATATATTTTTTGGGCACTTGTCCTCTCACTCCACACAGAGATGGGAGCAGGGTCGCCAGTACAGGAGGCGCATGCCAGACCTATTGTACACATTTTTAGTGGTAGGGGAAACCGGAGCACCCGGAGAAAACCCACTGTACGCAGACACGGGGGAAAACATGCAAACTCCACCCAGAAAGGCCCTGTTCTGACCAGGATTCGAACCCAGGACCTTCTTTCTGAGAGTGCTATCCACTCAGCCACCGTGTATTATTTTATTGAATTGTATTGAATTAAACATGTACACTGATTGATTAATATTATTCTGATTCAGCCTTGTTTACAGCAGGCTCCATCGTCACATGCACTGCTGAAGGTAAAGCATGCAGTAAGAAATACAAGCCTAAATAATTATTTTGAAAATGAATATACTAAACATCAAAGTTAAAAAAACAGACACATTAAAACTCCCACAGTGTCCTCCAAGACGATTGCTGCTCACAGATCTTAGCTAATGAGTTTCATGCATACTATTCGAGGCCCCACATGTGGGACGGACAAAGAATCTTATTTTCTCTCATTATTGTTCTGTACTTCTTCATGTGTTTTATAAATATAGATGTGTTCTTATTGAGGTGTCTACAAATAGAATATACAGTAGCTACAGGGTGAAAGCTATGATTGTGGCCACTAGAGGGCGCCATGTCCAAACTAAAGAGAGCAGTCTGTAAGTCACAGCACGCTTACATGATCAATGACAACATGAATATTAGTCAAGTCTGACAGACAGAAGTGAACACAAGTTAATCCTGGATGTGCTTGTGTCGGATTGACATACGTTTGTAATACATTAATATGAATTATTTACATAAAAGAGCATAAGACTAAATGTCCGTATGAGTGACATGAGCTCTCCATTGTGAACCATTAAACATGGTCACGTCCCAGTTTTATGTTTAAGCTACATAATATACAATACACAATGAAGCTGTGAAGATGGATGGAGCCAAATGCAGGGACATTTTGAGGAAGTAGTGCAATAGTGCGAGTATAGGACAATATTTACAACACAGATAATACAAAACATTACATTACAACATTACATTACCTTAAAATGCATCTAACATGCTTTAACAGGATGGGAGTTCAGGAATGTGACTGCTCTATGATATAAACTCGGGACCAGCATCTCGCAGTCTGCTGGTCCTGACCAGTGGGGATGGGTCCCAGCTCAAAAGTGGCCAAAATGACGTGCGCTGACATGCTTGCAATACCACCCCGGGCCGATGGGGGTGGACCTAGAAGTAGAATTAGCTAATGCTAACATATAGCATTGGCAGACCTCTCAAAAACGTCTTTACAGGATGGTCCAAAAGTTGGCTCTTGGCCCAAAGCTCCGTTCCACATGTGTGTCAATGCTGAGGGGGGTGGATTTTTTGGTCCACTCTAGTTTACTCGCTGTGAATTTTTTAAGTGTCTCGTTCAAATGAATAGAGTTGCGCCGGCTGACGCATGCGCAGATGCGTTTTTTCACCATTTTCTTGTGGGCAGGACCACTCGCGGCCATTTTGGATAGCTCCAGCAGAGCACATTTTTTGGCCCATTAGTTAGAACGGCGGAGATAGGCGTGACTCTGTCCGTTAATATATTCAGTCTATGGTTACGACCCAGCTCGGCTAGGGTAAGGGAGGTAAAAAAAAAACTAAGATGTTAAAATGGTAAAGCAAGTATTTAATAAAAGGCAAGTAAATAATAAGTAGACAAAAATCAAAAGGACACCATACAAGACATAAGGGGGTAACTCAACGTTACAAAAACAAAACCAACACTAAACACAACACTAATACACAGAACTAAACACTAAACTGACTGTTATCTCAACCGATGCAAAGCTCAAAGTTCAAACCTCAAAGTGACAACTAAAAAGAGAAAAACCAAATGAAAGATGTACGGACTTAACCTGGTTGTACCACACCATAGTACAAATTACATTTAGTACTAAGGTCTGGATTTGCTCCATTGAGCTCCGTTTACAGGTGGGAGGGGTTAACTCCTTTTGCAGATTGAAACGATTGGATCTGAGTTTACCGTGATGTATGTAATGCGCCTGAGTCTGTCGTTAGCATTTAGCCTAGCATCTCCTTTGCAGCTAACGGAGCCCGTGGGGAGTAGCGCCACAATCTTTACCAGCGATTACATTTGCTAAACATTCCTCTTGCTCCTGCTTCAATTTCATGACACAACCAGACCGGATTACTTTACTATCGCATTCTTCGCCATTGCCAAACCACAACCTGCCCGTTCGGCACAAACGCTCGCTGATTAGCCAGTCGAAATTCAGCCGATTGTAATCGCTAAGACGGGGTGCAGACCCAGACGTTGCATGTAGTGAAATGATGTTTGAGCGGAGTGTACGGATGGCTAAGGCCAGGCTAGTACGGACTATGTCTTTACGGTCATTGCCACCACTCTTGACAGTAACAGACATTTCTTAAAGGAATAGGCCACCGTTTTTACACACTGACATATGTTCTTACCGTACTAACTCCGACAAGTCACGCTGCTTCTATTGACGGAAGTGAGCGGGAGTGAAGTCTTTGGGTGTTAGTGCGCGGACATAGCGCTCCTCGTATTATTACGCCTCACAATATAGTACCCCTTTTTATCCGCTGAGAAAATCGACATGTTACATTTCTGTGTTACTATACTTTGTAGTGTAACACGTCACGTAACTGTATTTAAATAGGGAAGCTGGATTGGGCCAGGTGCACCGCTGCCAAACTTCTGGGAGGTGGGAGGGTTTGGTATGAACTCAACTCTTCGTGTTTGGTGGAAGAAGAATACTGAGTTTCCTCCCAAGAACACCATACAGACTATGAAGCATGGGGGTGGAAACGTCATGCTTTGGGGCTGTTTTTCTGCTAAGGGGACAGGACGACTGATCCGTGTTAAGGAAAGAATGAATGGGGCCATGTATCATGAGATTTTGAGCCAAAACCTCCTTCCATCAGTGAGAGCTTTGAAGATGAAACGTGGCTGGGTCTTCCAGCATGACAATGATCCCAAACACACCGCCCGGGCAACGAAGGAGTGGCTCCGTAAGAAGCATTTGAAAGTCCTAGAGTGGCCTAGCGAGTCTCCAGACCTCAACCCCATTGAAAATCTGTGGAGGGAGTTGAAAGTCCGTGTTGCTTGGCGACAGCCCCAAAACATCACTGCTCTCGAGAAGATCTGCATGGAGGAATGGGCCAAAATACCAGCTACTGTGTGTGCAAACCTGGTAAAGACCTATAGTAATTGTTTGACCTCTGTAATATAACCTTTGTTGGCAATAACAAAGTATTGAGTTGAATTTTAGTTATTGATCAAATACTTATTTTCCACCATAATTTACAAATACATTCTTTAAAAATCCTTCAATGTAAATTCCTGGATTTATTTTTCACATTCTGTCTCTCACAGTTGAAGTGTACCTATGATGAAAATTACAGACCTCTGTCATTATTTTAAGTGGGAGAACTTGCAAAATTGGTGGCTGACTAAATACTTTTTTGCCCCACTGTATATATAAAAAAAATGAATTGGATTGAATCTTTCCCATCTGGCTCCACATCTGTAGTTCTGACAGCAGAAGCACAGAAACCTATGCCTTTCCGTGATGTAGGGTCACTGCTGATTGCTTGATCATGGCACATTTGCGCTGCCTGCCGGGGATCTGAAAGTAAAAAAAAATAAAAACTAGTTTTCTCCTGGAAAGGGCCACTCGCAGCATTAAGTGAAAGTCTAATAGTTTGAATGGGAAACAAGCGGTCAAGAATGTTTTTTACTTTGTGTTTCAGAGCAAGAAAGTTTGACAATTCATATCATAT